GTTTGGGATTAAAAATGTTTTGCCACCCGTTGATGAGCGAAAAGGTAGTTTTGGTACATGTTCATATTTGGATTGTTTGAATTCATAATCAGTTGTGTTTATTGGTTTTATTATTGGAACGTTTGTCATAATTGATATTAAAGATATATAGAAAATTATATTTAAAAATTAACTTGTAATTAATATTAAATGGAACATCTTTATGTTATGAGTGGTTGTGAATAACATCATGGAACAGGCTTTCCATTTATTCAATCAATAAGTGTTGAAGCTAATTAGTTTGATGCATTGTAAAGAAAACCCCAAGTGCTGTGCCCCACCAATATTCTATTGTGCATGAAATAATAAGATTAATTATAATTTATCTTATTATTTATATGAATAGGAGTTATTCAGATTATATTGATATAATAAATGAAGTGGAGAATATAGAACAAGTAATAATAACCGATAATAAAATTAAGAAATGTTGTTATGATTCATTAGAAATAATTAAGCTAGGAATTCAATATATCAAAAATAAAAATGTAAATATTAAAATAAATGGGACAAAAGAAAAAGAGTAAAGACAAAGAAAGACCAATGCCAGATATTGAAGCATGGAAAGAAACAGCAGACAGTGTTAAATCACTGGGTGAAAGTAAGGCTATAAAATGTGATAAATGTAATCACGTAATGAATTTTAAAAATGAATTGACAGTAGATAAGAAAGGCGGAGTGAAGGTTAGTTGTATCCCTTGTATGTTTTCTTATAAAAGCTCAGATAAAGATTTAAATATTGAGGAAAAAAACAGGTGGTGATATGGTTGTTGAAACTAATGAACATTTGATTAAAGTTAGTTTTGACAGGGACATAAGTTAGTATTTAAAGAGTAGAATTAACATAATTTAAACATTTAGTTTTAAAAGTATAGTTGAATAATATAGTATATGGTTGAATTTTCAAGTTTAACACATTTACATTTTGGTGCACTTGAATTAGATAAGCAAATTGGAGACAATAATTATAATGGTGTTAGTTATTATACTTGTAAGTGTGGATGTAAAATAGTCTTAACTCGTACTCAAACTAAAAAAATATAACCTTTTATTACTTAGTGTTGGTCTTAGCTATGAATATTTATATCTAGACAAAGCGTTAGTATGTGGACATACTCAAAAAGACTTAGATAACATTGTTAGACTTATGGTAGAAGGTGAAGAAGTTAAACAGTTAAGTAACAGAGACCTTCGAAATTAAAATATTTGGTTTTAAAACTTTAGTTTTATAATACAGTATATATGGAAGGTGTGGATAAACTAATTTTGACAATTGATGAAATAATGGAACAAAATAAACGCATTTATCAACTGTTAGAAAGTATGAAGAAACCAGCTTACAATAATACTAATAATTGCCAACCAAAAGAAGTTGATAGAGAGAGCACTGAATACAAGACTAAACGAAATGTATATATTAAAAAACTTAATGAAAAAGTTATTAAAGAACCTAAACAATCAAGTCTGGATGTCTACCAAGTCAAGTATATTGAAGATACCAAGAAATATGTTTAATCATTAACTAACAAAATTTCGTGTCTCAGAAGTGGTTTGTTTATTCCTGCTACTCTGTAAGTTTTATTACCCATAATATCATATTCAATTTTATCAACATTGAATACGTTATTAGACCATTTAGAGTTATACTCTTTTCTGTCGGTGTAATTGCCCTTTTTCTTTTGAAACACTTTTATCTTATCGTTCTCCTGTATTCTGGGATACTTTCTTTTGTTCTTTTCTCGTAGTTTCAGATTGACCTTTACATTTATTTCATTGTCGTCCTTGTGTGCTTCGGTTGGTGTCATCCTTGTTGACGAGTGTAATGTGCTGTTATACTGTTTCAATGCTGGTGTTAAGGCATCGGTCCATTTCATATTATTAAACCTAGCTCTATCATGAATTTTGTTTTTCATTGTCCTAATAAAACGTTCGGCTACATTTGCGTGTGTCTTCGTTATTATGTGTTTGATACCTTCGCTGTTGAAGAAATCCTGAACTTGGTTTTTGGTTGCAAACGCTCCATCATCATCAGAATACACAGACATCGGGTAACCCATCTTTTTAAAACTTGCTCTAAGCGCCTTCAAAACGTGCTCTCCGTCTCTTTCCTCCATCGGAATTACATCTGCTAATTTACTGAAGATGTCAATCACGACTAAAGCATACTGTGGAATGTTCTTGTCTTTAGCTAAAGGTGACATATGCATTATGTCTATTTGGTGATTCATACATAGCAAACGGGGCGGTATAGGAATTAGTGTCTATATAATTATTGATTTGTTTATTTGGTTGTTTCTTTAAGAAAGACTTTACATCGTCTAATGTTATTGTTGGGTCTTCTTCCTTTGCCTTCTTGTGTGTTGCTTGTGTGCTTCCGAAACCATCGTCTAAATCATAATAGATGTTGCTGATTATTTGGTCTTTCGTTAATCTTGCCATTATATTATTTGTTAGAAAATATTTTTATCAACATAAACCTCCACCCCTTAACATAAAATAACTTAAAGAAATATTAACTTATAATATTAAGAAGTGAAATGCCAATGATAGGAGTGACAGAAAAAGAGCTGGAACAGGATAGAAAGATAATATTGAGTTTCATTAATGATAATCCCTATCCATCATATAAACAAGTCATTGAAATAACTAAAAACGATAAAACAATGGAAGATATATACCCAGATATGTTCGCTGAGTATGGAGAACAAAATCATCAATGGATAAAAGAGATTTACGAAAACATAATGAAAGAAGAACTCGTTAAACATAATGGTAATAGTATTAACGAAAGAGGAGGAATGACAACAATGCATTTTAATTATTATACTTTGATATCAGTGTTGCGTTATTTAATACAACAAAGAGCACCAATGAAAGATTATGACGTTAACTTAATCTGGTACAATATCAGAAACCTTTTGAGCAGTTCTTGGAACAACATAGGAGACTGGAAACACTGAAAATAGGTTTATTCATGTTATTCTATAACTATAATATGATTACAACAAAGTTTTACAATCTAACACTGCATTTAAATGAAACCTGAAACCCCCAGCTAAAAACTACTTAAAGAAAAAATAATATAATATAATCAGAGACAAATGAACTATCATGAAATCAACAGTTATATTAATGAGAAATGCTATGATTGTTGCCACTTCAAAAAAGAAAATATTGAAATGTACAAATTAAATTTACCTAATACAATAGTAAATAATATTATACATTATGCGATGGATGAAGAAGCTGAATGTGAAAATTGTAAAACCTGGAGAGATAACCAAGCTATAATCAATTGTGTGTTGAGAATAAAAAGAAGAAGGAATAGAAATGTAGAAGATGATATCTTAATATTTCTAAGTGTTTATGAAATTCCGCCTTATGATTATGTTAAACAGCTCCTTAAAATCAGTAAGAAAAAGTATGAAATGATTGACAGAATATTAAAGATGTTGACTTATTGTAGAAGGGAAGGGCTTAATGAAAAAGAAGACATTAAATCATATGTTGAAAGTGAAAAGTTCAATGTTAAAAATACAGTGAGAGATATTAATAATATATTTAAAATGATGTATGAAAGAAGTAAGATGTGTCAATTAAATTATTATCCTGAACTGAAATTATAATCATACTATACTAATAACTTGTAAAATATTACATGTTATAATTATAGTGAACTTTTAACCTATAAACATTTCATTAAATGACAAACCACAACAACCTCCCAAAAGCCAACCCGTGAAACCACAGAAAGTCCTATCCTCTTTCAATCAATAAAACTAAAAGTTGAAATCTGGAACGAGACAGGGGACCAAATCATCAATTCGTTACCACATCCATATCGTTATTTCATGCCCCCAAAATCAGCCTTGAAAAAACGGATAAGGTGGTACACGTGTTGAATTGTGAAAAAGAAAACAGAACAGGCAACCATCTAGACAAGCCTTTTCTACATTTTTTGGGGGTCCATTAGGGGCAAAAAACCTAAAAAGCAGCAGGGGGGGTTGGGGGGGGGGCAGCAGCCCCCGGTGATGATTGAAAAAGTGATGATTCAATTGGGGGCAAAAAGTTTAAAAAGTAGCGGGGGGGTTTGGGGGGGGCCCCCCCCATGATGATCGAAAAAGTGATGATTCAATTAGGCGTGCATTTTAATCGAAAGGGGGGTGGCGGGGGGCTCTAGAGAGGAACTGGCGATGCTGAGGATGCAGGAAGCCAAGGCCAACTGGGAAAGAAGAGGATGCGAAAAGTTAAAGTTAGAAAGCTGCCAAAAACCACAAAGCCAAAAAGCCACCTGCCACAGCCGCATGCACCCACAAAGACAAACAGAGAGGAACTGTGAATGCAGAGGATGCGAAATGAAAAGCCACAAAAGCCGCCAAAACCCACGTAAAGGCCACAAATGCCAAAAAGCCGAAAAGCCACCCACCCTGAAAAAAACATCAAAAAAAATGGCCCTCCGTTACAAGCTCATCCCAAGATGCACTTCTGGTTGCTTGATTGTGCGGCCTAAGCCGCATGACGAATGAGACACTGAAAGACTGCGGGAAGCCTACACGAAGATAGCGAAAGACTACAGGAGAGTACGGGGGGATGCTGCTGTGAAAACAACAAGAAGACTACGGGATGACCACTGGAAGACCTCGCGATGACCGCAGTCTTCCTGACTGCGGGACGATTGGAAGACTGCAACAAGAAAAAAACACTACTGGAGGACTACAGGAAGTAGTCTGCAGGACTACAATGTTGCAAGAAGACTGGTGGCACTATTGCTCTGTTTAAACAAACTGAGACTGGGGCGGAGGCGTTTGCTTTCAAAATAATGAACATTGCAAATGTTTACTTTTGGCCTGAGGGGGAGAGGCATTGGTGTTTGTTTCCAAAACTTGAAAGGCGGGGTACCCTGAATATGTCCAAACTGATATTACAAATGGCTGTCGATGATTCTCTTGCGCGCATCCTGCCTTGATCTCCTGGAAGCCCATGCCGGATGTCTCTGTGCCGATAATCTCGCACACGGTCGCGATCTCCACGGGATGCAGCAGGCGGCAGGCCGTGGGCTGCGGGAGGCTGGAGAAGACGCAATCACAGGCCTCCAGAAGTGCCAAGCTCGCGTCGCTCATGGCGCCGATGGCAATGCCATAGACCGGCTGCTCAAGGCTCAGAAGGCCCCTGGTCAACTTCAGCCACTCCCCATCCGCATCTGAGCCATCGCCGTACACGACCACAAAGACCAACAACACGCCCTGCCCCTCGGACAGAATCCATTGCAACGCTCGCTCCGCGCGGTGCAGCGAGTCATCGGCTCCCTGGTCAATGATGATGGACCTCACCTGGGGTGCCTCGGCTGTTGTGTCTTGGCAAAGGCACGTCAGCTGAGCAACAAGCTTAGCTAAACTCCAGCAGAAAAATCACAAATAAAAGGAAAACTACCACGTGCTTCCCAAGGCGCATCCATGATCGACAACGTCAGCTAACCACACAAAGTGTGTGTGTGCTTGCTCCGAAACAGGCTTCAGACAGGAAGCCTGGTCACCTATACTGAAGAAAACACTTGCACGGCACGCGCGGCAATGCGCAACTCTTCTCTTTTTACTCCCACTGTCGCACCGCGCAGTTCAGAGGCCTGGCCAGGCAAATCTCGGCTGACCCGAGGTTCACGGCTCTTGAAGGTCAACTGCTTCCATGTTTGAGAAGGGCACGACCCGGTTCAGATTCCACGTCACGTATCCACGCCTATTTTGGGAGGTGCGAGCCTCGCCTTTGGGAGGCACTCCCAGCCTCACACAGCCGCCGCCAGCTTTGCCGAGGGGTCGTTGATGAGAAGCTGCGACCCGGAGAATGTGACGAGTCGAGTGGCTCAAGGTGAATTCAGTTCGCGCTTCAGCTAAAAATGCCAATGGCTCAGTTGTGCCCAAAACTCATGCTGGAATCTGTGCACTTTCAGTCAAGCCAAAATAGACCCCAGCAGAAGTGAGAAGCATGAATATTCTCCTGGCCGCACAAACAACTTCCCGATACTGTCTGACAAGTCTGAATCTGCGCTTATGTCATCTGTGTCCCGCGACCTCACCGCGGCGTAGGTGCGCGTCTTTCATGAAACGCCGCTCGTCTTTTGCCCACCACCTCAGCCAATTGCATACTTCTTGAGACAGCAGCTGGACCTCTTTGATGAGTGACCTGCCCATCTCAACCTGCTGCAAGGCGCGTAGACTCCCGACGTAGCCGTTGAGTCTCCTCGAAGTTCCCTCGCACCTTCACTTGGCCATAGACCTCAGCTGGAATGCAAACAGCCATGCAAAAGCTTCTGGGGTGGTGGAAATTCACACTGCAAATGACTGCCTTTCACCTGCTTGTTGCTCTCTTCAGCATGCTTACCAATGCGGATGAACCAACGAAAGCGGTCATCCAGCAGCACTGAGGGAGCATCAAGCAGGCAACAGAACAAAAAGATATCTGTCTCAATCCCTGTTAGTCTCTTAGTGTCCACGTGATTCCAGAATGCTACCCGGGAAAGGCGCTACCCGAGGCTATGGCAGGGTCGTTCACCCAGACCTCCTGCGCCTGAGGTGCCTCCAGGGTGCCCCAGGTGGGCTTGCCTGGTGAGAGGCTCTCCGTCTCTCGCACCGAATCCGCGGCAATTTTTTCGCAAGCGCAAATAGAGCTTCTGGCTTGCTTGCTCAGAGAAACCAAAAAACTCTCCCGCCTATGGCGCCATAGAGCTGCTTGTACTCTTTGGTCTCAAAGGCAGAGACCTGAGACCAAAAGCACTCACCAACTCACCCACACCGCCCGCTCTCACACTCGAATCAAAAGGTTAAGCCAGGGATCTATTGAGAAATTAAGAAAAGACAGAAACTGAATGACTGTTCAGTTGGAATAGTTCTATCGAGAGGTCTCAGATGTGATTGGCCCATTCAAACGACGAGCTTGAAGTAGCTCTGGCTGAGATACTCGGTATAAGACTCACACCCCACGATGAGCATGCTCCCTCTGCAGCAAATTTTCTCTGGCCCGCTGCTCCTCGCAGAAAGTGCCAGCCATGGTCGCTCGTCTGTGTCTCACTGCACACGAAAAGGTGCAGCTACCCTGTGCATCGCAGAACAATCCAGCAGCATTCCAGCTCACTCATAAACTTATCTGGTGCCCGAACGGGCGTAGGCCTCGTTGCCGTCGCTGTCGAATCTTCGCACAGGTCCCCAACCAGGACAAAGCCTCAGCACTATCAGGCCTTAGCCGCCTGCAACCCTTAGTAGAAAAGAACGAAGCAAAATACAAATCAGAAGCTGACCAAATGACATGGGAGGGAAGCTTGCGGTTGAAATTGAAGGAAGCATCTTGCAGAACTTGCTTTGGGTGCAATTTGAGAGCTGCGGTCCCATTCTGGCCTGTAGATGCCAGAGCAGAACATAAATAAGCAGCAGCCGACAATCGAGAGCATGGCCTCAGTGCGCGTTGCATTCGAAGCCTTCAAGCCATTCGTGCTGAGGTTGAGGCTATGTCCAGCGAAATCGCAACTGTCTGCGAGCCAGTCGCATCGCTGAAGAAACTGGAGCACAAAAGGAATCTATCAATTGCCATGCCAAAGCAGTTGCAAAGCTCGCTCAGCTAGCTTGACATGCACCTTGTAAACGGCATCCAGGCAAAGGGATGGTTTGCCTTCAGCCCAGCTGGCAATGTCTGCGAATGTGAACAAGTGCAGTACAACATGTCTCGTCCTTGAGCAAATGCTTCATGTCACGCCCCGGGTTCAGTTCACCAGAGCAAAATGCTGAATCATCACAACATATAGTTTTGCGTGCTGGGTGCATGTATCTGCATTCGTGGTTCCTCGGTGCCGATTGCGTGCAAATGGGTGTCTCCGTATGTGTGTGTGTGTGTGTGCCAATTGAATGTGCGCGTGTGCGTGTTGTGTGAATGTGAGTGTGTGTGGTGTGCATGCTTGTCTGTTTGCGTGTGTGCTGGACCGTTGGTGTGCGGGTCTGTAGTTTCTGTTGTGTCAGTCTGTTGGTAATCGTGTGTGTGTGTGTGTGTTTGCAGGTGCCTTAGAGTGTGTGTGTGTGTGCACGTTTGCGTGTGCGTGCGGGTGCGGGCGCGGGTGCGGGTGTGGGTGTGTGTGTGTGTGTGTGGGTGGGTGGGTGGGTGGGTAGGTGTGTCTCTGTGTGTGTGTGTGGTCTGTGTCTGTGTCTGCGTCTGTGTCTGTGTCTGGGTCTGTGTCTGTGTCTGTGTGTGTGTACGCGCACGTGTGTGTTCTCTGGTGTGCCAGTGTGCCGGTGTGCCGATGCGCTGGTGTACTGGTGTGCTGGTGTGCTGGTGTGCTGGTGTGCTGGCGTGCTGGTGTGGAGGTGTGCTGGTGTGTTGGTGTGCTGGTGTGCTGGTGTGCTGGTGTGCTGGTTTGTTGTTTCTGTGTGTTGTGTTGGTATATTGGTGGGCTGGCGTTGGTAAGTTGGTGCGTTGGCGTGTCGGTGTGTTGGCGAGTCCGCGTTCACGGTTGTATTTGCGTTGCCATTTGAATGTGACCGAACTCCATGCTAGTTTTCTGACCGAATGTAGGGCATAATCCAAAATAATAAGTCACCTTGAATCCAGGGAGCAGACCAGGAAGCAGTCACAGGCACGCTATCCTCGGTCCGAGAGCGCAAGGTTGCCACAAAGTCAATCAATGAGAACTGGCATTGCATGTCCAAAAGCCACCCATCTGTCTCCTCGCTGGTTGAAACCGCCTGGACTTTTCTCAGGTGCCATAACCTTCTGCAACCAAGCATCGGAAGTGTCCACTTACTCGGCTGCCCCTAGAGGCTGCATGACTATGCTTCCGAGCAAGTTGGAAGCTGCGGAGGCCTGTATTGGGCACCCACGTGGTCCAAGGGCCAGGCTTCAAACATGTTGCTAAAAGCCCACGTAAATGGACGGTAGAATTGGGCGCCGCGCCACTGGACTGTACTACGTACTCCCCCCCCACAATGAAAATGCAAGATCGGAAAGAGTCGCAAAGAACCAAGCTCAACCGACATGCTGCAAAAAGCATGAGATGCGAAGTGTGTCTTCATGCGGTCCTTCATTGGCGCACATGTGAGTCATCCTTTAGATTATCTATAGCGTCCAAAACTCCAACAATGAGCACTAGTTCGGCAACCCAACTCCCCGATCTTTCCAGAACAAAAGCGGCTGCAAATCAAAGTCAAGCACATCATTCCCTCGTCCCGCTGGGATATCGCATCTGATTGGCATGATTTCTTGCGAGGCCATCAATACCCTGGCAGAAGGAAGTGATCAATACAAACAAGGGATGGTAACCACACTTAGGCTTGCCACGTCTCAAGTCTATTGACTCTCTGTGTGTCAATGGAGGATGCTGCTGCGCCTTCATCTTGGTGCAACCCCCAGGTCACGCAGGCAATCAAGTAGGCTCTCTTCAGTCGAAGTCCGGGGCAAAGTCATCAGCATGTGAGATGTGATCTTTTCAAGTTTGATTTCTGGCTTTGCTATTTCTCGGAGATACGTGTACATGTCTTGTGCTAAATCAAAACTCGGGGACCTTTAGCATGATTCTATCCAGAACTCTCAAGGGCTAAACTGCTATCAGAAAACTAACTATTGATACAATAATTTCAATTGCACAACATTCGGCCCGGATTGAATTCGTTGAACTTTTGCTAATGTGTAGAACTTCGAATGCGTGTGGTTTTCCGTTGGATTGCTCCCACATCTGCCCATTGTCTGGCGGCTCGTGCGCGTTGGTCCACAATATGCCTCTGCCACTTCCCGACTTTCTCGTATGAGGGATCCATCACGGTAGAGGTTCCAGGCCAATTGGCCGTCAAGGGCGGTCGTGAGGACCATTTTGGTCCGCTAGGTTAGACTGGATGGTTGTACTGCACGAGTTGGAGTATCTGTCAAGTTTTCAGGCTGAGTAGAGTTTCTTCGAAATTATCCCTGTTCTTTTTTCAGTACCACCACATGGTGTGTGGCGTTGTTTCTCACGCCTACACTTCTCGGGGATGTCTGCTCCTTCCAAATTGGGCAACTCAATCACGCGGACAAAATAACTCGTAGTGATCCGAATTTCCCACAAAGATCAGGAGCCCCGCCCAACTGTGCTACCTTTATACCCAATAGGGGCAACCGATTGTGCTTTATGCCGCCGATAGCTTTACATGCTGTTGGTCTGACATCCACCACAACCTCAAAGCGTTTCAGGCCCAATCACACATGTTGTCCACGTTGATCATACGAAAACGATTGGGCGTGGGCCAATAAGAACCATATCCCAGCAAGAGCACGCCAGGTCCAAACTCTTTCAGAATGGTGACGAAGGGTTTGGATCTGGGAGAAGTCAACTATGTGGTGTTGAGCTGGAAAGCTGGAAGGAAAGTCGCAAAATAAGGCAATGAGAGCCGGAAAACCATTTCGATGGATTTCAGACAGTACCCTTCCAGGGTCGCAGCTTGGCATGTGCCCTTGTGCTCCGTGATGAGGTAAGAAACACCCTGCATCGTATGAGACTGGTAATTGTCAGACCCAATCTTTAAGGTTGGTTTGTTCCAAACTATAAACGAGGTCAAGAATTCTAAAGCTAAAATATGGGGGTCAGCGGCACGTGAAGGCAGTTGAGTACCTGGATGGAAAGTTGAAGAAAGTGGACTCATCATGTGTGATGACGGGCTGTCATTGACCGAGTGTAACTGTAGTCTCAAGTTCCTCAATCAATTACCAGCCTCATGCAAATCGTGGAGTGCCGGAAGCCAAAAGCTCTCCACTCATGAGCAATGCCCTTTCGCTCCTGACCTTTTTCTCCAGACTCAAACAGCTTGGGCTGACTCTCCTTTAAATATAAGCAAAGGAATGTTCATCTCAGTGGGTGTCAAAGAACCGTGAGCACCCTGACACTTACACTCAGTCTTATACGTCAGCTCATTTGGACTCACCAGCGTGTGCGCCCCAAGGGAAATGGACAGGAAGTCCCCCAACCTTGGTCTGGCCGCCGGGACGGGCGCGTCAGGACCGAACAGCCCCTCCTGCACAGCGACGTCCACGGGGAGGAGGATGAAATGCTCCCGTAGCATGGGCTCAGCTTCCCAAGCCGCTTGGAACTCTTCGTGGCGACCGCTCCGGCAGTGAAAGTACCCATGGCGTCCCTTTCCGTGCACACCGACGTTGGCATATTCGAGGCAATCCAAAAGAGGATCGGGCAATGTCACCATCTCTTCCGGATTTACCGTGACATGCCCATGATCTGCAGTGACAATCATTGTGACGTCGAACCTCTTCAGCTTGACCCACAAACGTTCAAGAGCATCGTTTATACCACGGCACACCTTCACCACCTCAGGATGGTCAGTTCCGAGATCATGCATATGCTTGTCTGGGTGCGCCGTGTACATATACACATACGACTTCCATCGCTTCTCATCCGCCTCCTTCACGCTCTCCAAGATGCAGTCAACGCCCTCATTGAAGAACTTCACTGCTTGACCGGAACCCTCCGGGGTGCCAAGTGTTTCTTGTGCAGTTTCTTCAATGGTCATAGCGTTCTTAGCATGCTCCCCTTCGAACCAATCCGTAAATTCTGTCCCCGTGTAGGCATTGATGAACTTCATCCGCCTCGAAGAAGCCCCACGTGCAATCCAGGGCTCATCAATATAAATATCCTTCTTAGAAAAACCAAGCTCTGCGGCAGGCTTCTTTGTTCGCATGTCTCTCACAACAGAATCCAGAACTGTCAGCTGGACGGGGTCCATGCCCTCCTTCGGAAACTCGCATGCCTGCCAACAAATGATGCGGAAGCCGCGAAATTGAAGAGACTTGTGTTTGTCTGTACGTGTCTGTGTGTGGCATTGAAATAAAATTCAAGTCCTTTTTCAGAAACAAGAGCCGCAAAAAGTCGGAAGGGCATGTAGCATGACCGGTGCTTTGAGCGATGGCCTTCAGGTCCCGAAGCTCCCAGCCGGGCATCCCATGCTGGCCCGGCCAGGTGGCCGTCGCAAGCGTCGTCAGCGCCGCCGGGGTCGTGGCCGGGAACACCGCGCGCAAGGGCCGCCGGGGCGCCGCGCCCAGGAAACCGCAGCCGTGGCGCGCCAGCAGGTCCACGCCCATGCCGTCGCCTGAGACCGAAACGAGACATCGACTCAAAAGCGATGTGACAGCGGCTCACACTCGCGCGCTCTGTAACTGAGCCTCAGCCCAGTTGCACAAGACCACGACCACGTGCTGGCGCGAGCTGCCCCCAATGTCCTCTGCCAATTTGTCTGCCAGCTCAGTCCTGTGGCATCACTATGCGCATCAATACATGAGAAATTGTATCAGCATGGTTGACAGTATTGTAGGGCAATCCGTCTTGTAAACAGAATCAAGGGGGACACTAAAAATGGAAAGGCAAATGCATCCCGTTTCCGGCCAGTGGACATTGCCAAGCATTTGCAGCCACCGCAGTCCTCACAGGTCTTGCGGGTGCCAAACCGCAGCATTTTGCCAGAGCTTGGGCAAGATCCGCAAAGTTCAAAATGCCATCCTCAGGGAAGCACCAAGCACATTTCAAAGGGGACGGAGGTGGAGAATCATTGAAGGGAGCAGGTACAAAATGGTTGATTCAAAAGATCCCGTGATTTCGCACGGTACACTGTTGTCGCTGTTGTGAATGAATTGCATCTGCCGACAAAAGTGTCGTTCTTCAAAAGACAATCAAAGAAGCAGCCTCGCTCCAGCCTCAGTCGGATGAACGAAGCGGCCTGTTGCCAAGCTGTCCCGCAGCCTTGCCAGATTCAATTCTGTCGCCTGCGCAGCTTCCACACGTGCGCGCTTCGCAGATGCCATTGCGAAATCTCCAGATCAACTCGCTACTGGCACAAGTGCGTGTATGTGTGTTTCTGTGAAAAACGCAAGCATATGCATTTGTCGGCTTGCAACATGTGCTGGCTAGGTTGGACACCATGCATGTCAAATGCCGATTCTGGATGTCGCGCGTTCTGCGACAAAGTACTTTAACCGAGCCACATGAAGGCAAACAAGCACCACGCGGGTTCGGGCGCGCCCTCGGGCGCGCCCTCGGTTGACAACACATTTGGTTGCAGCATGTGGTCAGTCAAGCTTGCGAGATGGCAAAAGACCAAGGTTCCGCAAGTTTTACTGCACCTCCGTGCTGCCGGGAAGCTGCATAGAACCAAACGTGCGCGAAGGCATGTGAACAAGTTGAACATACTTTTTGAATGCATGACGCTGCTGATGGCACATGTGGCCGTGATGTTACATATCCATCCAGCCAGACACACGCAGCCACTTGTTTGCCACATTCAGCTTGGCAGGCTTTCCATGGTCGCAGTGTGACAATTTTTGTTCTTTCACCCCACGACAAGAAATCGCTTTGGGCCTCCCGAAAGCAAAAAGCGATTTTTGGGCTCAAAAAAATCGTTTTTGCTCAGCCTGGTGCCTCCCGAAAGCAAAAAATGATTTTCGGGCTAAAAAAACGTTTTTGCTCAGCCTGGGGCCTCCCGAAGGCAAAAAGCGATTTTTGTGCAGTTAAAGGTCCCGCGCACTGCTCCTAGCCTCAAACCACAAAGAACCCAGAACCCAAAAGCCGACAGCAAGGCGCACACCTTTTTTACCGGGTTGCTTGGGAAGGTGGCACTTTCCTAGGGCACTGCGGTGAGGTAGTCTCTTTCCGCAAGCGCCCGTGCACGGACATGAGCATGATCAACCCGCCACGTCGCAACCAGGTCATAGTACTTTTGCCATGACATGTTCTCATTGGCATCCCAAGTGTTCCAGGCCCCTTTCTGCTGGCCGATTCTCTGCCCATCATGTCGGGAGGTCATAAAGCTCGGCGGCACCTGCCGCAAGCACGTGCAGCGGCCATACTCGCGCACCTCCTTAGAGAAGAAATCCAGCAGCCTTGTACCAGGCTGGGCAGTAACCACAAGGTCCGCGAACTCCTCAATGACAGGGTCAACAGCTTCCTCAACATACTGCAACGTTAAGGCATGTTGCACTGCTCCTAGCTTGAACCCAAACATGAAACCTCAAAAGAACAAAGCTCGTCCGAGGCGGCCGCAGTTCTTTTTACCGGGATTGCTGAAAGTTGCACTGCTTCCAGGGCACTAGTGCGCCTGGAGCAGGAGGCACATTGACCCCCCGAAATGTGAAAAGGCAAGACAACGCGTGTCCTTGCGTATACATGCAGTGCTTGGGGGGCGCGGCATGCGTGCCCACGCCCCAAGGTCCGGAGACCGAAAGTCCGGAGACTCGAGGTCCGGAGACCGAAATTGGTCCGGAGACCTGTCCGGAGACCAAAGTGCCCGGAGGCCACCCATGAAAGTGCAGAGAAACTGCGACCTATCCTTGCAAAGCCTGGCATAGGGCAGTGCAGGGCGGGTGGGTGGGTTTCAAGAAATAAAACCGCAGGTTTGGGTCAAGGCTAGGAGCAGATTCACCACATGCCCTAAACACAAGGGAAAAGAAACCCTAAGCGTTAAGGCATGTTGCACTGCTCCTAGCTTGAACCCAAACATGAAACCTCAAAAGAACAAAGCTCGTCCGAGGCGGCCGCAGTTCTTTTTACCGGGATTGCTGAAAGTTGCACTGCTTCCAGGGCACTACTGCGCCTGGAGCAGGAGGCACATTGAGCCCCCCTTCAGTGTTTCAGGCAACCCCGGTAAAAGCGAACCCGCTGGGCCGAAGGCCTCATCACCCGCCCTTCAGAGTGGGGTTGTACCTGGCAGGGCAGATGCTAGCGTGACCATGCATGCTGCGCTGTGAGCAGCTTGTTATGCAGCGACTGCACTTTTTTCTGGTCAGAGCGGCTTGAGTAAGCGGCTGGCTGACGTCGCCAGTTGTTCTGGCTGACAAGGCAACGGCGGATTTTTGGTCGCGAGGCCATGTCGGATGCAAGTTAGGCTGGCGCAGCGGTGACGGAGGCTGCTGCCAAATGTTCCGGGCGCCAGGGCGCATGCATCGGACACAGTTGAATGCCTCGGCCTGACATCGCTAGGCTTGCAGGGCTGAAGCGTATGCGACTTTCAGGGCGATGGCTGAACCGGGCCAACCGACCTCTGCTGAGATCGTCAGCCCAATCATTGCACCTTCCTGGAACGTGCGTCGGCTGCAGCAGCACATTGTGAGCGTGAGCCCAGAAGGCTGTTAATTGCACAAAGAGTTGCAACGGCCAGGAGGTCGTGAACAGTTTGTTAAGGCTTGCTTCCGTGGCGGAATTGTCTGTGCCTGAAGGCATGCTAAACGAGTAGTGCCCAATGCGATTGCCCAGCCCCCGATCCCTACCATATCATCTTCGGCACACGCATCTGCGGCGGCCAGAGCTCGCAAAGGCTGAATAGGCGAGTGTCGAAAGCCCGACGCCAGCCAAGTAAGGCACTGTTGGCTTGACTTGGAAAGGCTAGTATATGGGTTGTTGGGGTCCGCGATGCGCACCCATGTGGGCTTGCTAGTGCCAGGCACTTGCGGGATGTCTTGGGGGCAATGCATGGTGCGGCCTGAAATTTCCAAGATTTTGGAGCCCACTGTGATCCACAAACCCGGTAGGCTATGGCTAGTTTTGAGGTCCTTAGTCAAGGATGCTCTAAAGGCTGACCACATTTGAGGCGGTATCGAGCGCATCGAGCCTGGTGGGCTGTTGAGGTCCGCGTACAGCGGTGCTAGCCAGGGCCTGAGGTGTAGGGCAATGCTGGTGGCCCAAATAAGCAGGCCTATGCACTGCTCGAGTGTTTTGCGGGGCACCCGTCGATTTCCCAAAAGGGATTTGATCAAGGCGTCCAGCTTGGCTAGTTTAGCGGACTGTCTTCCGGAAGGCGTAGCTGCGCAGCTGCACTGAGTAATGCGCATTTAAGGCTGTGAAGGGTAAACGAAGATGCCTCGTGCTGGGTAACCAGCTGACCGGCCCAACGAAGGCAACCAGTGCCTGCAAATAGGACATCGGGCGCGAAAGGCTGGGGCATACGTGAGACTCCAGGTTTGGAACGCAGGGCAAAATGAAGTCGGGTACAAATGAATCTCCCCATTCGGCGTGGGTGGCGTCTAGGGCTTGACTGAGCAGGGCCAGCCACTTCACTAGCCAGGATGCGCTAATATCTTCACCTCGGAAGGTCTGGCACTGAGGAGGGCCGCAACAACAGAATTCTCCGCTGGCAGCTGGACCGCCTCGACGAGATCATCGAGGAAGAGCGCGAGCGACGGTGCTGGCAGAGGACCGTGTTGAGGAGCTGCGCAGCATCAGTGGAGCGCCGCAACAAGATCCTCGAGGAAGAGAACGAAGATCTTCCCGAGCGAGCGGTGCTGGCGGAGGTGCGCGTTAATGAGCTTGAGGAGCTGGAGCGCAGCAACATCCGCTGGCAGCTGGAACTCCGCATCGAGATCCTCGAGGAAGAGAACAAAGATCTTCGCGAGCGAGCGCGTTGATGAGCTTGAGGAGGATTTGGACAGGGGATGCATCATCACGCGCTAAAGAAAAAAGTCCGCCAAATGCTCGAATCCCAAAAAAACCCGCGCAGCCTCTTTAAGCTATCATGACTTCCTTCCCAAATGGATTCTATTTACCTGACAAGCTCCTGGCACTCGTCCGTCCAGGAAACGAGCTCGTCCTGCGAAGGATTCGAAGCCCAAAACGCTGCGCGCAGGCGTGTGGCTGCAAAAATAACGACCCCTAGATACGCTTGCAATTTGGCTCCAGGTTGCATTTCAAGCGAGCCAACCTTTGCAGGACTAAGAAAAAAACAGAAAAAAGGAAACAAGGGGTCCCAAAAAAAGGGCTCCCGAAAAAAAGGAAAAGGGGTTTCCTTTTGGCAAAGCTTGACCTCGCTTGAAATGCAACCTGGGGTTTCCCAAATGGATTCTATTCTATCTGACAGGCTCCTAGCACTTGTCCGTCCAGGAAACAACCTCGTCCTGCGAAGGATTCGAAACCTAAAACGCTGCGCGCAGGCGTGTGGCTGCAAAATAACGACCCCCAGATACGCTTGCAATTTGGCTCCAGGTTGCATTTCAAGCGAGCCAACCTTTGCAGGGCTAAGAAAAAACAAAAAAAGAAAACAAGGGGTCCCAAAAAAAAAAGGTCCCGAAAAAAAAAGAAAAGGGGTTTCCTTTCGCAAAGCTTGACCTCGCTTGAAATGCACACCACTAGAGAACTAAATAAGTCAGCTTCGGTGAGTCAGCTTCGGGCGCGGTGAAGACAGAGCACTCTCCTTTGCAGAGCACTCTCCTTTGCAGAGCACTCTCCTTCGCAGAGCACTCTCCTCTGCCGAGCACGCTTCTTTGCAGAGCACTCTCCTTTGCAGAGCACGCTTCTTTGCAGAGCACTCTCCTTTGCACAGCACTCTCCTCTGCAGAGCGCTCTCCTTTGCAGAGCACGCTTCTTTGCAAAGCACTCTCCTCTGCAGAGCACGCTTCTTTGCAGAGCACTCTCCTTTGCAGAGCACACTTGCGCTTCTTTGCAGAGCGCACTTCTTTGCAGAGCACTCTCCTTTGCAGAGCACGCTTCTTTGCAGAGCACTCTCCTTTGCAGAGCACGCTCCTTTGCAAAGCACTCTCCTTTGCAGAGCACGCTTCTTTGCAGAGCACGCTTCTTTGCAGAGCACTCTCCTTTACAGAGCACGCTTCTTTGCAGAGCATGCTTCTTTGCAGAGCACTCTCCTCTGCAGAGCACTCTCCTTTGCAGAGCACGCTCCTCTGCAGAGCACACTTGCGCTTCTTTGCAGAGCACTCTCCTTTGCAGAGCAGGCCAAGTCTTTTTTAGAGGGGGTTTCCCACATGGATTCTGTTGTATCTGACAGGCTCCTAGCACTCGTCCGTCCGGGAAACGACCTCGTCCTGCGAAGGACCGAAACCTAAAACGCTGCGC